TTTTTTTGCACCCTCAGATTCCAGATTTTCAAATAGTTGTATCTCGGCCAAATATTGTCCTATCCTAACAAACCATACATCAATGGAAAGCTTATTTATTCAGCTTTCAGACGATGTATAAATCTCAATTTCGAAAAATTGCCCCTTATGACTGGTTTTGTGGTCTAGGGTCACATGAACAAACAACTCTATAAAAACCTTCAGATATGAATAAAACTCAACTTTTGGTGTATGTAAGTGCTGCTGAAGTGGAGAAAGTGTGTTTTGGGATGTTTTTATCTCAAAATTGACCAGTGCATGAAAAATGCCTTAAAGGGACAGTTCACCTAAAAATGAAAATTGCTGTCATTTACTCACCTTCAAGTTATTCCAATGTAAACGTTTCTTTCTTTTTTTTGAACATAAAGATGTTTTGAAGAACGTTAAGCCTTGTTCAGACTGTCAGCCCAAATCCGAGTTTGTGCATATCCGGATGGAATCTGATTTGAATAACTGACTGTCCACACAGTGTATTGCAACTGTTCATATCTGATTTGTGTGTCCATAAGCGCCCTTTCGTTTTACGGAGTGTGCGATGGTTTCTATGGCAATGCCGTTGCGTTGTTATGCCAATGCTAAACAACAACAATAACAGCAATACAATTAGTAATACAGATGTTGTCTTATTATGGATTTTGTCTTATGAGGCAGCGGCAGAAACGCAGAAAGTTGGAATGAGCGTCTTTATTCCGTGCTGCCGTCTCTGCTGGTTTCAAAACTCAAAGAGGTGCGTATACTAGCAATATATTGTCTTTTTCCGCTTGACAACACCAGCATGTTTCTGCAAAGACATTCATTGTTTTCTACAAAAACGTCTGACGTTTTACGTGGCGTACTAAATCCGATCTGAGCGGTCAGACTGAATCGGATTTCCAGGAATGTGATTTGAAACCACATACGGATGTAGCTCGAAACGGATTTGCAAAAATCGGATTTAATGTAGTTCGTTGCCGTTCATTCTATCTAAATATGATTGGATTTCAATCGGATTTGCACAAAAATCGGATTTGGGCTGACAGTCTGAACGAGGCTTTAGTAACCAAACATTTGCTGGTCCCCTATGACTCCCATAGTATGGAAAAAAATACTGTTGAAGTCAATGGCTACCGGCAAATGTTTGGTTACCAACCTTCTTTTTTATGTCTGTGTTCAACATAAAGAAATGCATAGAGGTTTGGAACAACTTGAGGGTGAGTAAATGATGACACAATTAAAATTTTTGGATGAGCTATCCATTTAATGTCAACATAATCACATTTGAGATTTGACCCCATTTTCCATGTTTTTTTTATGTTTTAGGATTCAGCTTGATATTTTCATGATAGTCAGAGGGTTATAATGAAATATTTCACTTAAGCTTCATGAAGTTGTTCGCGTCAACTGTAAATCACATGTAATTTGGCTCATTAAGGTGGAGCTTCTTCACTCCCATTCAATTAAAATGTGTCCGTTTGCATTCCCAGAGTGTATCCTAAGCCGATGTTCTTGAATTTTTTAGGTTGCTGGAGCCCTTCTGAAGGAGGTCTGGATCAGGACTCATTCGCGCGGGCCCTGAGAGGCCGACCCGTCAGACGGGCATCGGGCGAGCACGTTACATGCCAGCATTTTTGGTTTTATTTGGACTGCCCCCTTTAGGTTGAATCCCCTCTCCCCCGATACTCTTTCATTCATCAGAAAGAGTGAGTTTTGACCCTAGTGCGGCAGCCGGGCTGCTCCCCCACACACAGATGAATGAAGACCCCATTCGGGAAGAACGCAGCCCAGAGATCCAGAGCTGATGCAGGTTAGAGCGGCGCTTTGATTTCTGAAGATCATTGTCTGAAATGTCTTTTTAATAATAACATGTTTGCTGTGTCTGTGATTAAAGGGCATGCTGGTGTCTCTGCAAATATGATGAAGAAAAAGAATTCTCATAAGTAAGTTTTCTTTTGATTGTGCTTTAGGGCTGAATGTGGGAATCTTAATTATTTTACATTATATTATGCTCATGTTGATAATATAGCAATGAATTTAAAGGGGTCATCGGAAGCAAAATTAACTTTTACATGTTAGCAAGTTTCACGATGAATGCGGCTAAAGTTTACCGTCCCTCAGAGA